AGTTGTACTAGTAACAGATAACATCTACAAACTGAAACAGTTGTACTAGTAACAGATAACATCTACAAACTGAAACTTGACACAGAAGTTTCTTATTTACCAGATAATAATAATTTAAACCTGAGACAGAAGTGAGTTTCTCATTTACCTGATAATATTAATTCAAACCTTACACAGAAGTTTCTCATTTATCAGATAATAATAATTTAAACCTGAGACAGAAGTGAATTTCTCATCTATCAGATAATAATTTAAACCTGAGCCGGAAGTAAGTTTCTCATCAACCAGACAATAATAATTTAAACCTTACACAGAAGTAAGTTTCTCATCTACCAGATAATAATAATTTAAACCTGAGACAGAAGTAAGTTTCTCATTTACCAGATAATAATAATTTAAACCTGAGACAGAAGTGAGTTTCTCATTAACCAGATAATAATAATAATTTAAACCTTACACAGAAGTTTCTCATTTATCAGATAATAATAATTTAAACCTGAGACAGAAGTGAGTTTCTCATTTACCTGATAATATTAATTCAAACCTTACACAGAAGTTTCTCATTTACCAGATAATAATAATTTAAACCTGAGACAGAAGTTCCTCATTTACCAGATAATAATAATAATTTAAATCTGAGACAGAAGTAAGTTTCTCATTTACCAGATAATAATAATAATTTAAACCTGAGACAGAAGTAAGTTTCTCATTTACCAGATGATAATAATTTAAACCTTACACAGAAGTTTCTCATTTACCAGATAATAATAATTTAAACCTGAGACAGAAGTAAGTTTCTCATTTATCAGATAATAATTTAAACCTGAGACAGAAGTAAGTTTCTCATTTATCAGATAATAATTTAAACCTGAGCCGGAAGTAAATTTCTCATCAACCAGATAATAATAATTTAAACCTGAGACAGAAGTGAGTTTCTTATTTACCAGATAATAATAATTTAAACCTGAGACAGAAGTAAGTTTCTCATTTATCAGATAATAATAATTTAAACCTGAGACAGAAGTGAATTTCTTATTTTCCAGATAATAATAATTCAAACCTGAAATTATAATGGGTTGAACTTCAACAGTGACTTTGTCTCCATGAGCAAGAGGTACTAAACTGTTCTCCTGCTCTTCGCATGAAGGCTTTAACTCCCTCAGTGGGAAACCCCACTTTACCCGCTGCTGAGCAGGTTCTACACCAAATTTTTCCTGAATCCAGGTCTGAAGTTGAATAAAAGTGATACCCTCCGGTCTGAGTTGCATTCGTGCCTAGAAACATTTGTAAAGTGACAGCCATCAAAGTAATGTCTTACGCTTTAAACACATAATAAAACAGACATTACACTAGACTGAGTTATGACACTGATGTAGGTTTTTATTTAGTAATACTTCATAATATTATGACTTCAAGATACGTAAACTGTATGCTTGATGAAGAAGCTGCGATATTGTATTCCTAAGACTCACTCTGTATACATTAATCTGTATCTGAGGCTACAAACTCATTACAGAGGAACATTTCTTTATCTTTTAGTACAACCAAAGTGAATGGTGTGACTGTTCAAACAAGTCGATCGTAAAAAAAAAACAAAAAACATTAATATAACTAGATACATTTTCTGTAACAAAATCCATGAAATATTTTTTGTAGAATTCCCAACAAAAATTAGGAGAATTTTCTGCTTACTTGTTGTCCATCAGAAGTGACCACTCTCACAAAACTTCCTTTTGATGGTGAGCCACTTGGGGATGTGGTTTCTGACCTTGTTTCTCTTGCAGTCCTCTCGGTAGGAGAGGCAGTAGGGCTAGATGACGAAGAACTCCGACTAGGAGGACTCTAAACGGAAAACAAACAAATGAAAACAGTAATACTTCTTCTTCCTATGAAATTTAGAATAATTAAAAAAAATAGGCTTGTGGCTGCTACAGCTTGTGGCTACTTACTACACTACTTAAGGAGAAGAGAAGCAACTGCACGGCTTGTTGCTAATATCCTAGAACAATGCTGCTACATGCAGTGCTTCTGATAAAGGAAAGAAAGGTGATTCCTCAGCTATTAATCTACAACAGCAAATATAGAATCTAGTGAATGAAAAAAATGACAATTAAACAGCTTGTGGTTAATACCCCTGAACAGTCCTTCTATAAGTAGCACTTCTGATTAACGAAGGGAAAGAGAGGTGATTACACAGCTTGTGTTTGTTTCTTTTTAATTGTACAAAAGCTACACAAGGGATATCTGCACACGGCTGTTCTTAACTTTGAAGTAGTACATTAGAAGAATGGAATCTAGTTAACAGCACCCGTTGCCGACTCTTAGGACACAATCTTAATCAAATATTAGGATTTGATCATCACTCTTATAACACACCCACAGCCCCAAATTGTGGAACGTGACTCTGCAACAACAGGATAAGAACTTTTCGCTGCACCATAATCTCATTGGTTGTACCAGGCATGGGGCAGTGTTTAATAAACCAGACTGTAAGTTCAGGGGTCCGTGAGGAGAATTCACACATTAGGATTATTCTGAAGCTAGAGAGTAATCAGTTTACTGAAATGGGTGCAATTGTGTACTGTGCTGTTATTTACACTAGCCTACAAGTGAATAAATGAAGTAAAAATACTACTACTAGTGAAGCTGGTCCAAAATTGTTTTCCCATCTTATATGCATACAAGAACAGTAACTATAGGTAAGACAGACAGACAAGGTGGTGACTTGACTTACAGCTGTCCGATCCGATTTCAAGGCTCCTCTTTTAGCTTTTACTTTGTCAGTAAATTTCTGCTGTTGTTTAGAAACTTTCTCTGCTATTTGTCGCTGGATTCCTCGTTCTGTTTTGCTCACGCCAAGCTCCTCTTTGTGTAAAATCTTTAAAAGTAAAACAAGGACAAATTGATACAAAAATCTTTTTTTCGTGAAAGTTTAAGCAGACATTGATTTAGAGATTCAACATCATGACACCTAAAATGCACAATCAGACAGATGAAAGATCTTAACAACCACTTCCAATCTCTACAATAATGAAAGAGTTGAAAAAGACTTAAGCCATAGGAGTAACCATACTGAAGCAGTCTTAAAAACCTTGAAACTTTATAACGTTTTTTTTTCTCTAAGATTAGTTTGTGTAACCTTTGTTTTACATTTATAAAAAATGTTTTTGCAATACATACTCCAGCGCCACCTATAATTAGCTTCTGAGCCGTTTCAGTCATGTGACAAGTGGCTCCATCTACAGGTGGTCCTTTCCCTTGATCTTTAGTGTGATCTTTAGTCTGCTCAAGAATCTGGTCCACCACCCGTTGCAAGAGGCGTTCACTGCCAAACACTCCTTGTACAAGAAAAATTTTGATAAGCAAAAACTAAATTCCTACATCTACATCAGTATTAAACATCATTGTTTTTTTTTCTGTTATCCTTAGAAATTTGTCAAAGCAAAAAAAAATGTAAAATGCACCAAATTCTTTATCCAAATACAAACAAATCGCTTTTAAGACTGTTTCTCAGATCTTTATCTTTAGGGCTAACTTTATCTAATCTCTAGATCCTCTGGAAGGTCTTCACCATTAGCTTCCTTTCTGAGCTAATGATTGAAGCAGAGTAAGACATTTTTGATTGACAGCATCTTGATATTAGAAAGGTATTTCAACACTTCCAAGAAATTACATTATTATTGTGCCCTGTTTAAGCTAAAAAACTATACCTGGAAAATGTTTCTGGACGACAGCAGAAGCCACATCGTAGACATTGCTGTTGAGAGACAAATCACTCTCATTCTGAAACCACAGCACCGTATCACGAACAACCTTATTATTCCATTCTAACACCACAGGCAATCTGTCAAGGATAATGAACACCAGAAAATATTTAATTTTGTATAAAAACAACAGTTACTGCTGGAAAAACATCTCTGTTGATTGCCATATATCATTTCTTAAAAAAAAATGAAAAAAGAAAGAACCGTTAAAAGAACTAGTATCTTTTCAAACTCCTATACTTAAAAGATTTCTGAATTATTCCTTTCGGTTTGTTTGTTTTGAATTACGTGCAAAGCTACACAAGGGCTATCTGCGCTAGCCGTCCCTAATTTAGCAGTGTAAGACTAGAGGGAAAGCAGCTAGTCATCACCACCCACTCCTTTTGGAAGCGCACACTTCTTATTAACATCAACACTTACTCAAGAGGAATATTATCGTACTCCTTTCCATCCCAGTAATGCTTAAATCCACAGTTACACAAGGTTGATTTGGAGCGAGTCTTTGTTCTGTCACCATTCCTGTATCGAGCTGTTCCATCTCCGTTAACCAGTCGCATCTGAGTCCTGCAATGATGAGATAAACACAAAAATCATTATAATGATACAAAATGGTATCAGTGGTACTTCTACATCAGAGAGAAGCAGTCCAGTTTTCAAACAAGAAACTTCTTCGTTTCAAACCGAGAGGGGAAAATAAGGTTTGAAACCAGGAGTTTGTCCTTCTTCGATTGATGAAAAATAAACTAGTCTTACAAAAAATATAGTTACTTAATTTTGAAATAAGAAGTACATTTTAACTTTGAAACCTGTCATTGGTCTATTTTCCACTCATGAGATAAACTTCACCCCAATATCATTAATTTATTCTACGCAGCAAATAGTTAACACACTCATTTTGAACTGAGAGACAAACTAGCCTTCAAACATTTAACTCATTCATTTTGAAATAAACGAGAAAAACTAGTATAAAAAACCAAACATTTTCTACTCTTCAGCTAGAAAAATAGTTTTAATAAATCAGTGATCCCATGCTAAAATCTGAGAACAGTAAGATTATAATAATTTACTGTTGTCCTTATTGAACAAGAATCACAACAGTGAATCTATTATAACCTTACTAGAGTGAGTATTCCTTATTGAACAAGAATCATACTCACTCTAGTAAGGTTATAATAGATTTACTGTTGT